CACACACACACACACACACACACACGCACGCACGCACGCACGCACGCATGCACGCACGCACTCACATATCCAAAATAAATAAGTAAACCCTAAACAAAACAAAACAAAACAAAAAGAACTCTGCTATGTAGCAGAGGCTGGCCTTGAGCTCCAGATTTGACTGCCTTAGCTCTCAAGTGCTGAAATAATAATCGTGGGTCACCAAGTTTAACTTAAAATGAACCCTGATGGCTGTTGGCCTGACCCTTTGGCAGGCATCCCACCCATTGTATTTAAATACACCCCAACATGGTTCCTTGAATAAGTGGGTTTATCTACATCCTGCCTGCATCCTGTTGACTCCTGCTCACCAGACACCCCCACCCCTCCAGAGCCCTCAGTAGACCAGGCTCCAGGATTTAACAGCTCTTGCCTGACCTCTCTGTGACCCCCGAGGGAGACAGTTGGGTGGGGCTGAGATTAGCTGGCCCAGAAAGAGAAACTCGGGTTGTGAAACTGGGAATCAGGAGTTCAAAGCTGGCTTCTAGTAAAGGTCTCTGGTCCCAACTGTATCTTCATTTTGTACACAAGCCACATGCCACACCATCAGGGCCACTCAAAACAATGACACAAAAAGGCCCTGTGGTCATGTATGTTACACTGTCACACACAGATGTCGCCATAGCCATGTGCAATGCTTCCCTGTGTGGGGTTACTCTTGTCTACAGTGACGGTCATGCTTATGGCCGTAATGGGTGTGACTTCAGTCATTCACGTCACCAGTCAACACAGATGACCACAGCCAGGCTGACAGTTCCAAGTACCACCAGGAGCCAGGAGCCAAAGGAGACATCAGCACGCACTTTCAGAGACTCACAGTATAATGAGATTGTTGTTGAGAATGGAGGGTGAGATCGTACCTGACTGTACTTCCCTACATCACCACGAGAAACCCAGACAATGGCAAGCCATAGCCACCCAAGGTCCTAGTGAGGGCATGCTGGGAGAGGGAGCTGTTTTCTCCTGTGTTGTGTGGGCAGACACCCCTCCCCACTTAGAGATTTGTTTATGTGTGTATATGTGTTCTGTCTGTATGTATGTGTTTCCCATGCAACAGTGCCCTCAGATGCCAGAAGAGGGCATCAGATCCCCTGAAACTGTAGTTACAGACAGTTGTGCACTGCCATGTGGATGCTGGGAATTGAACCCAGGTCCTCTGGAAGGGCAGTCAGTGCTCTTAACTGCTGAGATACCTCTCCTGTCTAGCCTGACAATCCCCAGTTGTAAGGGAGAACCCGTCAACTGTGCAATGTTTCCATGGTGGCAACATGGCTTTAGGAATGACTTACAGGGATTGTGACAACCAGTACCCCTTACCTAGGTAGAAGGCCACCTTCTCATAAGTACAGCTGAGCCTGCTTTCTCAAAGTGTATGATCAACAGCAAGCTGGGGGCTGTTGAAGGAGCTCGTCTTAGAAATGGGGGCACGCTGTTTCTTCCCAATCTTTCTTCACCCAGTGAGACTTAATGACTATCGAGAAAGGCTGAGACAGTCAGTGACAAGGCCCACAAGTCACCTGTCATTAAGATACCTGGTGTGTGGTTAAGTCACAACAAAGGCCACTGGAAGCTACCACGACTGATTCCTGCCTTTGCTGTAACATCAAGCTGTGACAGGGAGTCTTCGGGAATCTGTGGTGTATACACATATGTCCACCTAGCCTCTACCCCTGCTACCAGCCCAGAGCTGGGCCACCACCTGCCTGATGCTGTAGGCAAGCTTTGAACCGGGTCTTTAATCAAGGGAATGGTAGGCTTGGGCCATCTCAGTCACTGGGAGTGGGAAAGGTGGCACAGAAAGGAAGGGGGCCCCGAAACAGAGTGGCACTTACAAATGGACCCGAGGGCCAGGCCCCGGCTGGTTGCTCGGTGTCCGCATGTCCTGTAAATGCATAAATACTGAGGCAGATGCAACTGTACTTCTTACACTGCCTTCCTGAAATATGACCTTGAATCCTCAGTGGGGATTCTGTAAGTCTCCAGCCATGGTCTGGACGTTTGCATCTAACTGAACCAAAGTATTGGGGTACCCCAATACTTCCGAACAATCTCCTCACAAACCTTTTCTTGCTTGCATCAAGAGCGCAGGTTAATTAGAACCCCCGACAAACTTGAGGATGAGCCTGAGTTTTGACTGTTTCGTGGGGAGCAATTACAGGGGCATTGAAAACTTAACAAAGCTTAGCTCAGGGGATACACAACAAGGGACTTCCCCCTGAACCTGCAAAGGTTACTGTTTCTGTCTCTGCTCATCCTGGTGTCTTGTAGGTAGGGAGAGCCGTTTCTTGATAAGGAACTTTTGATTCTTGATATCTGTGTTCCTTTAAGACAAACTGTTAGTGGTTGGAGAGATAGCTCAGTGCTTAAGAGCATTTGGTGATCTTGCAGAGATCCAGGGTTCAGTTCTGAGCACCTACATCAAGCTCTAAGGGAACAGACATCCTCTGGCTCTTACAGGCACCAACACACACACACACACACACACACACACACACACACCACACACACACACACACACACACACTCAAACAAAATAAATCCTTTTTTTTTTTTAAAGAAGCCCTTTATTTAGATCAGCTTTGTAGACTAAGGCTCCCCACGGTCCACAAATATTGCAAATCTTACTTAACTCAAGGTCATTATGGGAAACTGGGTTGCCCCGCCCCCTCCTGGACAGGCTGGCTGTTTGCAAAAGGCTCAGAGCCTCCTGTCCTTCGCACTGGGGGAATCTCTCTTAGATTCGATCTCTGCAGAGATTCAGGCAGGGGGTGCTCTCAGAGTCAGCCTCTACCTTCACCAATGCTGCTGATGGCGGCGGCTCCCTCATCATACATCCTTGGCCTTCTCTAGCTTCCTCCCATACTCCTGGGCCACCCCCAGGGCCCGGTTCACACCTGTCCCCAACCAACTCAACTGCAAACTCCCAACCCCCATAGCGCTCAGCCCTTTTGTTGCCAAGCCCACTGGGCCTTAAATACTCCTGACTCTGGGGATGGTCCCACGGTCCATGCACCGGCCCCAGAAGTACTCAGGCAAGAGGGTAAAAGTCCAAGTTCCCACGGGGATAGCTGGAGAAAGCTTACTGAGTGCAGTCAGTGGCTCCACTAACTTCGGATAGTTACGATTCCAGGGAGCCCTGGGGGAGGGGGTTATCCTGCCAGCCAAGTGAATGGCACCGGGAGTTTCCCAGGCCTCCCTGGATTTTGTTTCGGGTGACCCTGCCACCAATTAAAGGCCTATTTCTCATCAGCCTAGGCTTGTTTCTGGAAAAAGTTTGTCCTTTCCAAGGTAGGTGGGGTTGTGCCTTCCAGGGTATGAACCTGCCGGATCCACTCTGCCCTGTTAGCCCCCCCCCCGGCCCTGTGCCTTCACTTTAGGATTGTTTACATTCGGTCAAGTTTTTCCAGATTAACAAAGCCTTCCTCATAAACCTACTGCAGTCGAGCACAAGAACAGAGAACGAACCTCAGGACCAGGGCCAGCTGGAAGATTCAGATGGACTGGGCCATAGACAGCCAATTAGTGTCAAGCATAAGCAACTGTCACCGAGCTTCTCTTCCACAAGCGTCTCCTTCTCTGCCTTCCATGAGGACACTCCCTCCCCAAGAGAAACTGCTGAGAACAACTTTTACTTCAGTGAGTCCAGGGGTTAGAAACGCCCCCCTTCTAAAGGCAAGGTTAAGCAGCTGTCCAAACCACCCAAGGAGATTCAGGAGCCATGGACAGCTGGACGACCCCCGCCCCATCTGTGCTAGGGCAGCCTGGTCAGGGAAGAGTTAATGGGCAATCAGCTTTGGCTGATAGTTCAGACTCCAAAGTTCAGTCCCAGCCACTGAAGGGATTGTAAATCTCAGGGCAGTATTTAACAAAACAAAAGCAACCTGGAATTACATGAAGGTTTGGCTTTCCACAGAGCTTATTTCCTCTAATCCCCAAGGTATGCGGCTCCATGTCAGATCAGCTGGCTTGCCTGGTCCTCCTACCCCCCTCCTTAGCAACAGTTTAAATTTCAAACTAATTCCCTAGTTTGTTCTTCGTCTTCGCGGGCCGGCTGGAGACAGCCCGGCCTGCCGGGCTCAAATCCCTCTCCATTGCTCTTGCCACCGGGTGGGTCAGCCTGGTCTGCAGTTTCAAATTGGGTGACAGCTGGCTCTCCCTCCAATACCTGGGAGCAAGGGGAGCTACAGCCATCTACATAGCGAGAGGCAGTGGAAGGTGGGGCTTAGTGCCACCTCCTAATCCAGTGGGGATCCCCTCTGCCGAGGTGGGCAAGAGGATCAAGGTTCAAGGTGAGGGCAAGGGCTCTTATCAGAGCTGGTTGCCCCCGCACTTCTCTTTCCGGATTTTAAAGACCCGGGTTTCCTAGTCTTTCCGCCGGGCTAGACCATCCAAGTCAACCCCTTCTTCAAACCCGACCCGAGCACCCCCTCTCACGTCCCTGCCGAGCTGCAGCCGTCCAGGTTTGGACTAGGCAGCGAGTTGCCAAGCAAAATACCAAGCGCAACCTAGCCGCCAGGGCTTCGAGCTCTACCCAGGGGCGCGCACACCCCGCGCTCAGTGTGGTGCCGGCAAAGAGGAGGAGGGTGGGGGACACAACACCTTAGAGATGAAGTCAGGAGGAGGAATGGGTGGGTGTCCTAAGTCTGGGAGTGGGTGGGGGTAAATAGCCAGCCAGCTATCAATCCCAGGGGAGCCGATCAGCTCAGGATTTGCCAAAAAACTCCGGTGCCCGGGAAATTTACAAAGGTTGAAACCGGCTGGTTTAGCAGTCCCTGGTGATGATGCAAGGGGTGACCCGAGACTCTCAGCTTGTTGGCTCTGGTTTCCGCAGCCGCAGCAGGTGGGAGAACCCTCCCCTCCCAACATCACCCCCACCCCCGCACGCGCGCGCGCCAGAATCCCCTCACCCTTGGCGCCCACTTCCAGGTGTCGCAGTGCCACCCCGCCCCCAAGTCGCGTACCTTTCTGGCGCCACGCTCTGCGAACTCCCGAGCGAGGTGGCGCCCGATGCCTCTCCCACCGCCGGTGATGAGGACTGACTCCCGGGACAGGTCCCGAAGCTTGGGGGGCAACACCAGTCCCACGGCTGCTTTGGTCACCAGATAGATCATTTGAAGGGGGAACACTACCAGCGCGCCCAGCCATTTCCACACCATCCTCCGCGCGGCGGAGCCGGGCACAGGGGGAGGAGGTAAGAGGCGGTGGACGAAACTCCCCGGACTAAGCAAAACAGGAATTAAAAAAAAAAAAGGAAGGAAGAAAGAAAATACCCCCAAATAATAATAAATAAATAAGGAAAAAGAGAGGCGTCCCACCTGGCCACTCTTGAACAGATCTCTTTCCAGATGCAAAGCACTGGGCGAGGAAAAGGGGGGGGGTATAAACTCTGCTCCGACAGAGGGGGGAAAAGCGTCTCAGAAGATCGGGACGGTGAGAGGGGTAGCGGGGAGGCCGGGTTGGGAAGTTCTAACAAGAAGTTTCTTGCCTCCACAGCCGTTTCGGCTGGGCGATTCACAGGTAATGTTTACAGACCGACAGTGGAGTTTAAGCAAGGCAAGGGAAGGGAGGGGGGGAGAAAAAAAAAGCACCAACCACAAGAGCGCACACTGCTACAGTCCGCGGTTTCAAAGTGCAAGATTAAAAAAAACAAACAAAAAGCTGTTTCCCAATTGTAGCGCCCCCTCCAGAAAAGGAGAAATCAAAACAAAACAAAAACAAACAAATAAAAAACACCACACACACAAAACCTGGGGAGTGATTGCAGCTCCCAATTTCAGTCCGCCAAAGTCTCCCAACTCATTGCTATTCTTGGGCTCAGGAAATTGCTTAAACGCGATCTGATTGCCAGCACCGTGCAAGAGAAGTGGGGGGTCCGGGTGTCAGTTTCTTCCCGTGCACGGCTCGCCCTCGCGCGCGCCCGCTCTCTCCCGCTCCCGCCTCCTTCTCTTGCAGCCCGGGCTGGGAGTTGCCGCTCGATCTGGCTTCCTCTCTCTCTCTCTCTCTCTCTCTCTCTCCTTCTCTCCCCTTTAGCATTTATTGCCTTCTTTTTGTCCTTTCCAACTTGGACGGGGCCGGCTTGTGGAGTACGCGTGGATAGGACGCCCTCGTCTGCACCGCCGTATTCCTTCGTTCGCAGGGCAGCTGCGGCGTGGACCCACCGAAAGGGCGCCCCCTCCCTTTTTTTAATACCCCATTAAGTCTGATTGACAGTTAAAGTTGTTGGGAGGCTTCACTACCATGCCTCTGAGTGGCTGCAGCGACTTCCCCTCCCCCTGCGCCGTGGCGGGGCACGCGCCTGGGCGCGCACCCGGTCTCGCTGCGACTCGCACTCTCCTGGGACTGGCTTCTCATTTCTGCAAGCCGGGACTTGCCGCCCTAGTCCCCAAGGGCTCCCCCTGGAATCCGAACACGCTGGAACGGTCTCAGGCAAACAGGCTTGCTCCATCAGATAGTCCTCCCAGCCCGGGCCAGGTAACCACCCCTGAGCGCGTGCGGGGCAAGCCGAGGGGAAACTCGCGCATGTCTTGATGCAAACGGGTCGCCAAGGGTTCATTTCAGGTCACTTGGTCATTCACCCTGCCTCCAGGTAGGGCCAGGAAGTCAAACCTCATCATTGCCTGGTCCTCTTTTTCCTTCATGGAGTGTACATTCGAAGTTGTACGAACGTGGAGTCTCCCACGTTGCGGAGATGGGGGACCCTCTGGGAGCAGGATTTTGCTTTGAGAGAAATGGGAGCAGGGAAAAGTAACCTGTGGTCCCAGGTGCTAATAAAATCCCCATAAGATTAGCTGGGAGTGTATTTATTGCTTATCTGGGCTAGAATTACCTTGACTGACAGCAATTTCCTTAGTAAGGAAAGCCTGTAAACAACACGTTTTCAACCTGTGCCACTGTTCAGTTCATGCAGTGAACTGTGTGGGTGCCCCCCCCGCCTCTGCCTTGTTGGGTACCCACCTCATAACCTCTTACCCACCCCTTACAAGAACGTCTCCCTGTTGGGAGGGTGGGTCCCAGCTATTTAGGGTTGCCTGTTGCGGGAAGTCTAGGAGGTGAGTCATGAACAGCAGGCCCAGTTAAAAGCGCTGATGAGACTTGCCGCCCGCCCCCTCTGCACATCCTTGGGCGGGAGAAGGAGAGACAGCCAGGGAGCCTGCCCTGTAATCCGGGGCAGCCTTTTCCAGCCCTGGACGTGTTCAGGCTGGGAGTCCTGGGCCTCAGTCCCAAAGACCCATCCAGCAGGCCTTGGGCGCACAGGGAACCAACTGCTTTTATACTCCCCGCCTGGGTGTGAGCAAGCGCTTTAGCTGATTTGGGGAGGGGGCGGGGGGCGGGGAGGTCACCTCCTCATTTACCAACTACTGTGGTTCTGGGAGAAACTGGTTCTGAGAACTCCCAGTTTCTGGTGGAGCCAAAGGGACGAGGGAGAGCCACTCTCCTGCCGGCTTGTGGGTTCTGACATCCCACCCTCAGGCTGACCTCGCACGGGCCTCGGGGGACTTTGTCATCCCACTTCCCAGGTTACCCAGCCAGGAAGTGCAGGAGGGAGGGATTCAGTCCAGACCTAATTTCTCTTCCCACCCCACCCCACTCTGGCAAGAAAGCAGGAGAGAGGTGGAGGACAGGCTTGGCCAAGGACTGCAGTGAAGAGGCTCCCTACAGACAGGCTCCATTCTTCTTTTTAAAGGCCTGTCGGAAGGGCGGGCCACTGCCTTCATCAGATCCCTTCCCACCATAGTGACCATGTCTCCCCGTCTTCCCACAGGAAAGACACCCCAGCAGCAGAGAGCCAGACTCTTGGTGCCCAGCCGTTAGCTGCCAAGGCCTATGTAGAAGACTCCAACTGGGGAGACCCCAACAGGCTGCATAGCTTCTGCCCTCATCTATTATCCTTGGAGCCGCCTAGTGGCCAACATGGGACACTACGCCTCCAAGCTACTCTAGTTTCCAGCACTGTGGTGGTGGGGCTAATTCTTTTTGCTTGGGCCTTTCTCTCTGTGTGAGGTTAACAGCCCAAGCCTTGGAAAGCTAAGGACTTGTTAAAGATCACAGTCTCTTCTCTGTCTGTTTCATACCAGAGGTCACTAACACCCAAATGTTCAGCCGTACATCCTATTGAGTTCAGATGCCAGATCTGCTGAGTGACCATGTCCTATAGGTGTGTGTTTGGGACAGAGGGCAAGCGATAGGTGGAAAGACATTGAGAACCCCAGCGAGGTGGGCATCACGTGCCCTTTTGAAGCAGGAGGAAATTCCTGTTGAGCCTGAGCTGGAGTCAGAGGGGGACAAAAGCAATTCCAAAAAAGGAATGGCAGATCCTGAAGCCGGCCTGAGGCAGGCAACGACCCTGCTTCTACTTGGTTCACTTTCAGGATGTGGATTTTGTGGTCCTGGTGTCCCTGGAACCCTCAGGCTTCCTCCAGTGTCAGCTTTCCAGAGAGGAGCTGTAACTGTCTTAGACCCTCATCCCTCAGTTCCCAGAAAAATAGGGGCGTGTGGGGGTGAGGGGGGCACTAGGCTAGGCTGGCCTGGCTCTCCTAAGAAGTTTGTGATATAGGATATTGCTCCTCCCCTCTTGGTGCCCTCCCATCCATTTTCTTGAGGCAGGAGGTGCAGAATCTAACTCCAGATCACAGTTTGAAATCTCACAGCCGAGCCTTGGGCGGAGGGCCCCACACTCCCCCCCCCCCCCCCCCTCCTGACAACCTGAAAGAAGCCTTTGTGGGCTTTGATGGGAGAGGTGAGCGGCTGCCTACAAAACTAACTTTTCCATGACTCAGCCCTGCTGGGGCTGGGCACAGCTAGGGAGGAGCAAGGAACAATCCCTCCCCTGTAGGGCCAGCTGGAGCCTGGTGGCTGAGGTGCCTTCCAGCTCTCCTGGTTTGTGATTAGAGACAGTGAGGAGCGGTTGCTGGCCTCGGGGTTAGAAGCAGGCAATCTAGGGACTGGGGAGATGTTTCAGTGAGTAAGAGCACTTGCTGTGCGTGCTGGCTAGCGTTTATATCAACTCTGACACAAGCTACAGTCATCCGAGAGGAGAGAACCTTAATTGACAAATTGTCTCTAGAAGATCACTCTGTAGGCAAGCCTGTAGCACACTTCCTTAATTGGTAATTGTTGTGGGAGGGTCCAGTTCACTGTGGGCAGTGCGGTCCCCAGGCCGGTGGTCTTGGACGCCATAAGAAAATAGAACAAGCAAGCCCTCCAGGGCCTCTGGGTCAGCTCCTGCCTTTAGGCTCCTGCCCAGACTTCCTTTGATGTGGAAGTGTAAACGAAGGAAGCCCTTCCCTTCCCAAGTTGCTTTCGGTTGTGGTATTCCATCACAGCAAAATAAACCCCGGGAAAACAGGCAGGCATGAGGACCTGAGTTTGGGTCCCCAGTACCCATGTGAAAAAGACGGATGTGGCAATGTGCTACTATAATCCCTGGGGATGGAAGGGAGCAGGGCAAACTGGTGGGTGGACCCTTGGCGCTTGCCAGCTAGCCTGCCAACCTGGCTGAAAAGTAGCAAGCTCCAGGTTCAGTGAGAGAACCCATCTCAAGGGAGTGGGGCAGAGACCGACAGGAGAAGTCCGGAGTCCTTTTCAGGCCGCTGTACACGTGTACACTGGGATGCTTACTCCCATTCACGTGCATGTGCAAGCGTGCACACTCACACACAGCGGATTCCCTGAGCTAGTTTCACGCCGTTCCGAGGCAGTCAGTGGCTTCTTGGCCACCGAGCTTGTTCTGTTTTTCCTCCCAGTCCCAAGCAATGAAGGCTGAGAGGTTTTCTCTTATAAAGCTCTCTCCTTGCTCCCTTTGCATTGCACATGGACCTCCAGAGCTAAGATATAGGAAGGCGAGCCTCAGACTTTGCTCAGCTCAGGGGTGGATCCATGCTACTGGCTGACGGCTGAAGCACGAGCTTGGGGACCCCGCCATGGTCCCCACACTCCTAAGCGACTGATGACTGTGCAGCAGAGCCCTAGAAACCAATACTAGTACCCACCACTGAGCCATTCTGCCCCCTCACCCTCTTCCAGCTCTTTTATTTGTTGCAGCACCAGGAGTGGAAACCAGGGCAAGGGCTCTACCACCGAGTGCCCCACCCCCAACCCAGCCCAGCCCTCCAGCTCTAGAACAGGGTTTCAAATGCGCGCGCGCACACACACACACACACACACACACACACACACACACACACACACAGAGAGAGAGAGAGAGAGAGAGAGAGAGAGAGAGAGAGAGAGAGAGAGCGCAGATACACAGTATACACCTCTAACTTAGCGGGTAGACGCAGGAGGATCATAGTTTGAGGCCAGTCTGGGCTCCATAGTGAGTTCCAGGCTGAGAAGTTGGAGACTCTACCTAATGGCTTGTGCTCTGCAGGGTCTTCCCAATGGGTGGAAGTCTGGGGGCACATGAGCTGTACAAGGCAACCAGCCCGGGCGGCGTGCCAGGCCAAAAGAAACAGACTTTGCATGGGTGGAAACCTCTGTGGGGAGGGGAGGGGGCCTTTGGGCCCTTCCGTATAACAGGAAAGCCGTCTGCAAAGGCCCAGACTATTTCAGCCCCCTATAAAACACCTCCCCTTCTAATATAGACCATCTGTCAGCAGGGCTCCTTTCTCTTGGGCCAGGCCTGGTCTCTAGGACTAGAATTGTGAGAAGCAGGTAGACCACAGTTCCCTCTCTAATCCCCATTGCCCTGGGTGCACAGGTGGCTATTTTTCATGCTGTCACATAGCCCACCCCATTCCCACTTCAGCACAGGCAGAGATTTTCATTTTGCTGCTCAGATCTCAGGCTGGCAACGGAGAAGGGTTTTTGCCAACTCTGGGGGAGCTGACACAGGGGCAGACAGGGTTCTTGTTGCCAGGGTCAGATGAACTCACAGGCTAAAGTCAAGGCAGGAGATGTGGCAGGAACAGGGGGGTGGTCGGAGGGGTAGTGGTCAGGTGGCTAATCTCTCTCTCTCTTTCCTTCTCTCCTTCTCTCCCCCACACACTCTTGAAATAAGGGGAGAATAAAATAAGGCTGGCAAGATGTTCCATGGGTAAAGGTACCTGCTCCAACTGAGCCTGATGACCTGAACTGAACACCTCTGAGACCCTCAGTGTAGAAGGAGAGAACGAACTCTTGCAAGTTAGCCTCCGGCCTCCCTGTGTGTGCAGGCAGGCACACGAGAAAAATAAATATCAAACACAGCAAAATTTTAAAAATGACAAACGAAGTCTTAAAACTTCCCCAAACTAGCCAAAACATTTAAAAAATGTCCATTGTGCCCCAAATGCCATTCTGACTTCTCAAAGGTCATGTGTCATTTATTCCTAATGGATGAGGACATTAAGACCCACGATAATGTCACATGGCCTCAGGCTTGTAAGTGGCAACATAGGGTTAAACCCTTAGGGTCTGCTGGAGAACCCAGGCCTTAGCTTGTTGCTCCCTGAAAACTGGCCTTGCTGGGGACTTCCTATGTCACCAGCACTTACTTAGAGTGCTCTTAGGCCACAGGCAAGGCTTTGTTTCTGCCTTCTGGGGGCACACAGAAGGCTCCTGGCTTTGTGCACCCGCCCTGGCACTGGGCCGCTTGTTTCTTTAGCTGTGTCTGGCTGCCAGTGGGTACCAAGCTTAGAGGTGCTGTCACCCGCTGTGACGCTTTTCATTGCAACTCCATCTTTGTAAAGACTGTTTGGCCACTTCTGTCCCTATGTTCTCTGTTCTCTCTCTCTCTCTCTCTCATTCTCTCTCTCTCTCTCTCTCTCTCTCTCTCTCTCATTCTCTCTCTCTCTCTTTCTCTCTCTCTCTCTTTCTCTCTGTCTCTGTCTCTCTCTCTGTCTCTCTCTCTCATACACACACACACATGTGCACACCCCAAACAAATAAACAAACAAGCAAAAAACCAAAACAAAAGGAAACAAAAAAAAAACCCACAAACAAATCAGAGAGCAGACAAATATAAGAGTGTGTGTGTGTTTACATATGTATTTAAATTTTGCTATTTTTGTGTGTGCGAACATGTGCATGCCTGCTGATGAGCATGAGTGCCATGCATGGCATGTGTGGAGGTCAGAGGCCATTAGAGTGTATGTATTTAAAATACGAAGCTTTAGGTCTCAGGCTCGGGTAGGTGTAGCTTGTCTAACAGGTGAGGCTCTGGGTTCCATCCTTACTCGAACTCTTGTACTCCAGAGGTTGGTGGAAGGAGGATTGTAAGTTCAAGGCTAGCCTGAGCTACAAAGTAAAACCTTGTCTAAAAGTAAACGGGTAAGTAAAATTCCATGAAAGAAAAAATTCTGTCCCCAACTTGGTAACTAACTTTACCTTTTCATTAGAACTTTCCAGTTACGGGGTCTACTGCTTTGTATAATGGCCACGGCAGTCTCCTGCTGAGGCCTCTGTGTGTGTGTGTGTGTGTGTGTGTGTGTGTGTAGCACTGGTTTGTCCCCATTTAACAGCTGAGGTCAGGGAGAGAAGTTACCTCTCCACATCATGTAGGTTTGAACGGTGTGGGAAGGACACGGGTGTACAGAGCAGGTTTTCTGGAGGCCCAGAACTTGCAGCCTCTGTCACTGCTTGCTGAACTTGCGAGGCTCTGTTGCTATGAAGGAACTGGCCAAAGCTATGCGATGTCATTAAACACATAGCCAAGGCCTGGGGATACGGCTCAGTGTGCCTAACATGCACCGATCAATGCCCAGCACTAATTAAACCAGATACAGTGGCATTGGGGAGGCGGGGCAGAAAGATCGGAAGTCCAAGGCCATCCTTGGCTATATAGCACGTTTGAGGACAGCCTGGGGTATGTGAGAACCCTCTTCTTTCTAGAAATCAGACTGTTTGCGAAGTTTTACATTTGAAATTTAGTTCTGGTTGACCCTGTGTGGCTATCCTGATATAACGGAAGCAATTAGCTTATAATGAGAAAAGGTTGACTTTGACCTGCAGCTTTGAAGTGGTCTGGAGAGGGTAGGCCATCATGGTAGGAGAACATACTTGCTACCTGGATGAGCCACGAAGCGTCGGGAATGGATGGGAGAGATCACGGTCCCACAGTTTGAGGGCATGTCCCCATGTGAGCTAGGTGCCTCTCTCTAGGTTCTACCTTTTGAAGGCCCATCACCTCCCAGTAGTTCAAGCATCTGATATACCGGCCTATGGGGACACTCATCAACCCATCACAGAGGGTCCTTTCCCCCACATCTATCGTGATGAAGTACTTAAGGTAACAAGATACGGATTTCAATTAGTGGTACCCCATGCTTGTAAAGGAAAAGCCCTGATGTACGTACTCCTATTTGCTTAGCTGCTTGCTATTCAGTTGTGTGAGAGGCAGCTTACTATACACTTGGTACTTAATTTTACCTAGTGAAATAGTCCCCACAGGTAGGGTCTATAACCTGTCTTACATCAGTGGGAGGGGGACTGAGGAAGTCAGCCAAGGCTATGGAGTCAAAGAGGAATAGATATGAAGGCAGAATTTTGGCTGAGGGTTGAGCCAAAGTACCCCCCCCACACTCCAATTTGGTCTCTGTTCCCTTCCCTGAAGCTTTGTCTGCCTCTATCTTTTCCATGTGAGAACATGCATGCATACATGCATGTCCATACACATGACCACACATGGATGCACCTACCTGCACACAGAGATAGACAGACAGACAGACTTACCAGTGTGGCAACTCTGCCTGTTTCTTTTTATTTTTTAGATTTAATTTATTTTGTGTGCACGAATGTTTTGCCTGCATGTATGTATGTAAATGCACCAGGTGCCTGCCTGGTGCCCTTGGGTGTCAGAAGAGGGTATCAGATCCCCCTGGGACTGGAGTTACAGATGGTTAGGAGTCACCATGTAGGTGCTCGACATTGAACTTGGGTCCTCTGCAAGAGCAACAAGTGCTCTTAACCACTGAGCCATCTCTCCAGCCCTCTGGCTGTCTCTTGATAATAATACCGTATATGATTTCCACTCTCCCCTCTCTTTCTCCTGCTCCCCTGTGTGTGTGTGTGTGTGTGCGCATGCGTGTGTGTGTGTGTGTGTGTGTGTGTGTGTGTACCTGGCCTCCGACTCACTGTGTAGCTGAAGATGACCTTGAATTTCAAACCTTCTAGCTTCCATCTCTTGAATGTTGGAATTATGGGTGTGAACCCCTACACCCAGTTTATGATGTGGTATTGGGACTTGAACCCAGGATTTAATGCATGCTAAGCAAGTACTCTATCAACTGGGCTACACCCAGATCTCTGCATGCAGTTTCTCTAAATACCCATTTACACATAATCAGTGTTGTATCCTGAGCTTTTAGAGAGTGCCCACCTAGAGATTAATTTTTAATTTTTTTTCTTTTTTTGCAACGGTAGGCTTTAAAAAGGGATTGGAAGTCCTGGTGTGAGGTCCCAGAGTCCCTACATGGGCCTCTAAAAACTCTAAAAAAACCCAACAATAGCAACAAAAAGAAAAATCCCAAGTCAGAGAAGGAGCCAGCCCCTTGGCTCCTCAGAACCAAGTAAACCATCCTATAACACTGTTCCTTTGCAAGAAAGTTCTGTATATAAGTTTCATAAACCCCATCTTGTGGAGCCAACCCTCAGCCCAGGACAGAATCTGCTAATGATCACTGCTTGCCAGGAGCCCACAGGAAACCAGCAGTCATGTTGCGGGCTCCATGCCTGCCTCCCGCCTAAGCCTTTTCCAATAAAGCCTCTTTTCATGACTTTATAAAAACACTGCTCAGATCGGGTTGGGTCTCTGCTTCTTCCAGGGTGAATGCTGATGTCTGTGGGGCTGGAAGGAGCTGAGGCCTGCCTTTGAGACAGAGAAAGCAACAGGCTTTGATGGGAGGGACAGTTTCCTGCCTTGTCTCACCCGTTTCTCTCCAAGGCCAGTCCCGAGGCTGTTTTCTGTGAAAGGTGGCTAAGTGGGGCAGACTAAGTGTGAAATACTAAGAGCTGCTCCACCAGGCTGATCTTCCTAGAAGTGAGTGCTGCCTCAATAAATCCCAAATGACTTCAGACAGGAAAACTAAACATCAGTGTATGGCTACCCCAGGTCTAAGATGTGGTTTAGTTGTCTAGTAGGATTGTTGTTGGGCCAAGGTATAACTGGGCACTTGGTAGGTGTTCACCATTCTTCAGTTCCCTTCCCTGCCCCTGCCATATTGCCAGCTAGTCACCTGCTTCTTAATTTTCCTTGCACAGTATTTCAAATTTCAGAAACATTGTAAAACCAGAAACAGGAAGTTCAAGTATTGTTTACCTTTATAAACGTTTTTTTTTTTTTTAAATTCTGTGTCTCTATGTATGACTAAGGTACATGCAGGTACCTGTGGAGGCCAGAAGAGGGAGTTAGAGCTTTTGAGTTGGAATTACAGGAGTTGTGAGCCCCCCTGGTATGGGTGCTGGAAATCGAGATCTGGTCCTCTGGAAGAGCAGCCAGGGCTTTAACCATTGACCTAGCCATCCATCAACTCTTCCTTCCTTCCTTCCTTCCTTCCTTCCTTCCTTCCTTCCTTCCTCCCTCCCTCCCTCCCTCCCTCTCTCTCTCTCTCTCTCTCTCTCTCTTTCTTTCTTTCCTTTTTCTTTTGGTAGTTCAGGTTGTCCTCCAATTCACTGTGTAGCTGAGGATGGTTTTGAACTCCTGATTCTCCTGCCTATACCTCCCAAGTTCTGGGATCACAGGTCTGCTCCACTGTTCTCAGTTCATGCAGTGCTGGGGATAAACTCTGGCCACATGACTGTTAGACAGATAGGAAAGGAGAGAGAAAATTTGAGTGACAGGAGGCAGAGAGAAAAGCCCCTCACCCAGGTGTCTCGGAGCATGACTGGGTCTCTTATTGGTTGGGGAAGTCCTTCTGTGTATATGTTGTCCTACTGGTTGATTAATAAAGCACTGTTGGCCAATAGGGAAGCAAGATAGGTGGGAATATGAGTCAAAGAGGATTCTGGGAAATGTAGTCAAAAGTAGAGAGTTGCCATGTGATCTCCTGGGAGGAAAGAACACGTCAGGAGGGCATCCTCAAAAAGATAAGTCCTTATAGAAATATATATTAGTAATTATGGGTTAATAATTAAGTCAGAGCTAGCCATTGAGAAACGATAGCAATCATCCAACAGCTTCTTAATTAATATAGTGTCTTGTGTGTTATTTGGGGGCTAAAGTGGTGACGGGACCCAGGCGGGAATCCCACAACATCTTATTGTAGCAGAACAGGACTCATCTCAGTTATCAGCTCTTCAAGGCCCTTCTCCCTTCCCAGGTGCATGTAAGCACTTTCCTAGAAGCCTTCCTAGAATCCTCATTTATTGGAAAGGCATGTGCTAACACCTTGTGCAACACCAGTGGCTTCTGGTTCTACCTTCACTCACTATAACTCCATCCAAGGCATCCCAGAGTCACCTGTAGCTCTCTTACCAGGAGAGAGAGTGAGAGAAAGAAGAGTGGGGAAAATGGTTCTTAGCTATCTTTAGGAATGTAACTTCAGAATTGCCCAAATGTATACATGGCAGATGCCAGGGCAATCCACTGCTTGCTCTCCCCTGGGAAGCCTGTATTCACACTTGGGTGTGTCTTACTTTCCCATACTCTCTCTTGGGAAGCACATAACCCCACTGGGGTGTGCTGGACTTTGTTCTGAGCATTCCTCTTTCTTTTAACGCCTATCCTTAAGCTTGTATTGAATTATCTTCAATAAAATCCCCAACTGAGAGAGACCGTGGAAGCCAGTCACGCCATGGGTCCTAGCTGCCACCCACGCCAGGGAACAGCAGAGTCATCTGACCACCAGAATGGGACCCTCACCCTCATCCCCAACTGCACCTAGAAGAGTGATCACTGGAGACGTGATACCACCGAAACCTGGAGCAGTGACCACTGGAGTCTTGGATCTGTCTGCAGTGGAAGGAATGACCATCTGAGCCTTGGGCCCAAATACAACTAGAGGGGGAATCACCAAAAGCTCAGCCCTGCCTGCATCTGAAAGAGCATTCAATAGAACCACAGCCCCCAACCACACCACTTGGAGGAAGAGGGACCCCCAGAAGCACAGGTGCCACCTCTACCGAATGGAAGAAGAGATGGGTAGACACGGTAAGAACACACTCAGCAACACAAAGAACAATACAGCAGTGCTGCTACAACAGCAAGACCTGAACAATCCCAATGTAGATGAAGCAGAAGAAAGCACCATTAAAAACAGCTTTATGAAGATGATTGAGGCCCTTAAAGAGGAAATGAAAAATTCCCTTAAAGAAATGGAGGAGAAGACAAACAAAAAACTGGAAGGGACCAACAAATCCCTTAAAGAAAACCAATAAAAAGCAATCAAACAGGTGAAGGAAACGGTTCAACACTGAAATAGAGGCAATAAAGAAAATCTTGGTAAATGATCAGGAACTACATATGCAAGCATAAACAATAGAATACAAGAGATGGAAAAGAGAATCTCAGACCTTGAAGATACAATAAAGGAAATAGATTCATCGGTCAAGCAAAATGTTAAATCCAACAAATTCTTAACACAATATATCCAGGAAATCTGGAACACCATGAAAAGCCCAAACCTGAGAATAATAGGGGTAGAAGAAGAATAAGTCCAACTCAAAGGCATAGAAATATATTTAACAAAATCGTAGAAGAAAACTTTCCCAACCTAAAGAAGCCTATGAAAGTACAAGAAGTTTACAGAACACCAAATAGTCTGGACCAAAAGAAAAAGCTCCCCTGCCACTTAATGATCAAAACATTAAACATACAGAATAAAGAAAGAATATTAAAAGCATCAAAGGAAAAAGGCCAAGTAGCATATAAAGGCAAACATATCCGAATTACACCCAGCTTCTCATTGGAAACAATGAAAGCCAGAAGGACCTGGTCAGGCACTGTGTAGACACAAAGAAACCACAGATGCCAGCCCAGAATACTATATCCAGCAATGCTTTCAGTCACCAGAGAAAACAAGATAGTCCATGAAAAAAACCCAACTAGATTTAAACAATATCTTTCCACAAATCCAGCCCTACAGAAAATACTATAAGGAAAATTCCAGACCAAGGAAGTTAGCTACATCCACAAAAACACAAGCAATAGATAATCCCACACCTGCCAATCCCTAAGAAGAAAAACACACACACAATGCCACCGCTAACAACAAAAACAAAACAAAACACTTCCCCCCAGGAACTAGCAATCACTGGTCATTATTATTCCTTTATATCAGTGGGCTCAATTTGCCTATAAAAGACACAGGCTATCAGATTGGATGTGCAAACAAATCTGTCCTTCTGCTGTATACAAGAAGCACACCTCAACTACAAAGACAGATGTCACCTCAGAGTAAAGGGGTGGGAAAATATTTTCCAATCAAGGGGACTAAAGAAACAAGCTCAGAAATAGATTTCAAACTAAAAGTAGCAAAAGAGATGCATTCTTCATTTTAAATTTTCTGAATGTGGATGCCTAATGGAAGGACCCTTGCACTGGATTATGGAAAGGACCCGATCCTGTTTTAATATGGGGTTGTGGGCATGTTCGTGTTTTCTCAAAGGGAGAATACAAGGCTCAATGGCTGCCAGAACATCTGGTGAGGTGTGTGGAGCAGAAGAATGCCAGACCTGATGATACTGTGACTGCTGGAGCACTGACCCCAAACAAATTCGAATGAGATCTACTGAAGCTGTGCTCCTGCCCCTTTGATGTCATCGTTCTGCAGTCTGAGAAGGGAAGGAGGCTACACTTGGAGATTTCCAGTTTTTCAACAAACCTGCTGCATCAACTTCCCAGAAGTCTGTGAGTTTTTATCCTGGATCTAGCCAAGGACTGAATGTCTAGCAGTTTATACACACTGCATCTTGGGACATAGAACTCATTTTTGCCAGTTGAAACTCATTTCTGCTGTTACCTCAGAGACTTCCCCTTTTCGGGAAAATGATTCACTAGAACAAGTGAACACTATTATGGGGGTTATAGATGGCTAAAGCCCCTCTTCAGTATGAGAGGTGCAGTTGGACACAAGGATTGCTGCTGGTATTCCGTATCTCAAACTGTGGAAATTAAAAGCAGCAATGCATTGGACTGTAAGAGGGGAAAAAAAAGGTTCAGAATTGTGGAGTTACTCACATTTCACCCACCATGAGAACACTGTATTGTCCTTTGACTGAATTGAGATTATGAGATTGTAATCTAGCTGATTATGTGTCTGTTGTTAATAATCATATTGGAATTCTTAATGTTTGCAACCTTTGCTATGCTATGTAAATGCTAATGGATAGAAAAATGTCAGTGCTCATTCTGATAGGAATTTGACATGATGCTAATGAGTCATTTGATACAATGCAACTAAGAAGGCAGATTTTGATACCTCAACCAATTTAAAAAGGCCATTTCATCTTGATAATCCTCTATTCCTTTAATAGGAGATACTGTAGCCATAAAAGCATATGTATTGCTTAGTATGATCAAGCTTCTTGTGAACTTTCGATGAAAAGTTGTCTCAGAGGTGCATGGCATCAAGCTATGCACTTTCTCCTAACCTTTATTACTACAGAGGCTGGTAGTCAAAGACGGGTAAAACCTTTTTGCCTCCAGGAGACCTAAGACAGGTCACACATGGCAGCAATGTGTTCCAATGACGGGTAAATCTGGAAGGTGAAAGAAGACAACCTAAGACAGACAGCCGTCTGTCCTGTGGCAGAAGCACAGGTATTACTTAATTATATTTAGAAGGGGGAATTGTCAGGGCCCATAAAAATGGCTTCACTTCATCTTAGCTTATGGTCAGAGAGTTCGAAACTATCCTTAGTCTTTCAAGGTTAAAGTCATAAGACCTAAAGTTCTAAGGTGTGACTATTGCAGGATGTTTGGTCTTAGTCATGGATGTCTTAGCTAAATAACAAGAGACCTGGCCTAAGGTCTGGTTACTCTTAACCCCCACGGCCAGATAACAAGAAATTTAATCTAAGGTGTGGTTACCAAATGTTTGGAGAATTAAGGAAGGAGTCTTTTGCCATGATCCACTTTTTTGTTGGGGTACTTGAGAATGTCGAAGAATAAACTTGGGGCATTCAGTATTCTTTGGATTTCCCTCCTGACTCTATTCTGTGTCTGTGTCTTTTCCTTAATGTCTTTACCTGCCATGTCTCAATTCACACTCCCATTCTCAGGTACAAACAGGGATTAATACAGACTGGCACCACAAAGATGGGAAATGACACCTTTCTCTGGTCCAAAGGCAAAAGTTGATAGTATGTGCGGAAAATGTCCTCCATAGCTTTCTCCCCTCAGGTGTTTACAGCCTGAAGACTGCTCCCCTAGAGAGATTGCTCCTGTCTACATTAGCTAAACCTGACTCCTTGTCCAGCTGCATGCAACAACCCCACCTCCTTGTTCAACTGTATACAACAAAAACACTGAGCTACCAGGGCATTCTGCTTCTTCAACAGAGAGCCTAGACCACCCTCCCCAAGTTTCCTATGTCTGTGTGTCTTTCCTATCTTGAATCCTTCACCACCCCAGTCAGATAAAATCCATGGAACTGTGCAGAGCACAGAAGCAGAAGCAATTGAAGGCAATATAATATTCAGGTTGTTATTTAACATAATCATTACTCACTGCTTTAAGTTAGGTTTTCAATGAAGACAGGAATCAAAACGTTAGAGAGATTGAAAAGCATACAGTTTGACCATGAAAATGGTGTTTACTATGGACAATGCAAACATTGACAAAGAATCTCTGATTGCTAAGGGGTTCTTAGCATTAAAGAGAATTCATGCATTCCACCCTGGAGCAGTAGAAAAGATGTGCTGACAGCAGGAATCCTCCCACCAGAACTTTCGGCCAGGACACAGCAACAGTGCCTCACCACGCCACGCAGCTGGCAGGGGAAGGACTCGACCAGGAGCTGGTAGCCCTGGGCTGCTTCCACACCATGCCATGCAGGTGTCAGAGACAGGACTCAACTAGAAGCCGCCCAGGGACCCTAGCTCCTGACCACAGCACTGCAGAAGCAGAAGCTCAGCACCACGCCGCGAGACACAGGGACAGGACTCAGCTAGAAGCTGCCTGGGATTCACGCAGGGACACAGAAAGAGCAACAGATCAGAGCCATGCCGTGCATCTGGAGGGAGCAGGACTCCACCAAGTGCTGCCTGGTGCCTAAGCCACCAGGCAGTCAGACACCATTAAGGTGAGTGAATACAGTCTGGAGGGCAGAAGAGAGAGGAGGAGCAGTTCACGGGCAGGAGAGAAAAGCAGATCTGAAAGGGCGAGGGTGGTGAGGAGGAGGCCACCGTGAATGGCCCGCTTGCCACCTGAGCCCGAGGTGATATCATGGCCATGGGCTACTGCCAAAAGCTAGCCTCTGTCCGAGGCCCTGAAGCAGTTCAGGAGGCCTGACTTGATGTCCGTAACTCCTGTCATCACTAGGGCTGTGCGGAGGCCTGCAGTCTGGGCAGCCACCTCGGGTCATGTTTGTGTCCAAGGGCCATGATGCTAACAGGGCCATGCCGATCTGCGTGGCCTGTGCTGCCACCAGAGCCGCAGTGACACCCAGGCCCAGGCTGCTCTCAAGGGCCGTGTCTGGGTCTAGGGTGCTTCTGCAGCTGGGTCTGGGTTGATGTTCATGGCTCATGTTAAAACAGGGGCCACAGGGACCAATCGCACTGAAACCCGAGGGCTGCACTGAGCTGGCCCCACCCCACCCTGGCCCTGGGATAGCTGCTGCTTCCCTTCCCTGGGGACTGCAGCAGGAGGGATGCGTCTGTAGTCAGGAGAGATGGCTCTACCCCTCATCGATGACATTGGCCTCACACAGGCAGCACCCTAGAGCTGCCCGATGAGGAAAGCGGGCACTGGGGTCACAACACTGGGAGAACTGGTCCTACCCCGCACCAGCTGCAGCACAGACCTTGCTGAGAGCAGACCTTGCACCTCTCCAGGGCAGCAAGCTAGAGGTAACCATTTTTTTTTTCAGGGAACTTTGTGAACCAGTCCTAAGAACAGACGAGCTGACACCCCTCTCCCCCACCTTACATGCCTCTGACGGCGCCTTGCCTGGGAAAGTCAGTTGAGCTGGCCTTGGTGGTGTGAGTGGGGACCAGCCAGGCCTGAGGGCCTGAGAGCAAGAGAAGTGGTCCTGCTCATTGCTGCAGGCCGCGTTGGGTGGGTTGGCCTAGGCAGTGCTGGAGAGCTCACCTGGGTGATGACTTTGGGGGAGATCTGGTGGCCTGTCCAGCTCAGCTACCGCTCAGGACCAGGACCAGGGCTACGAGGTGACCCACCCCGACATCTGCCTCATCTGTGAACTATTGGAGCAGGTGAAGGGGACGAACCTACAGATCCCAAAACAGCAGGATCCCCATGACACGGGACAACAACAGAATGTCGAAGGGAGCCCCTGTGAGAGTCCATTACTGATGGTGTATCAGGAGCCAGAGGCTTCAAATCAGACCAGTGCCTCACGGCAAAGAACACTGACAACTGAAGACAAAAGGACTAAGGGGCCAACTGTGTAACTCAGTGGGTCGCACGACAGCCTTCACTAGATTCTTCCCCTTTTTGTTGTTTGTTTTTGTTTATTTTCTTTTTTTGGTTTGTTGTTTTGTTTTGGGTTTCTTTTAAATTGTGTTTTGTTTGGGGAGTGTTGCAAGGGCAGAGGGCAGATGTGGGGGACAGAGAGATGGGTGAGAACTGATGCATTATGTGAAATATGAAAAAAATCAGTAAAAGTTAAAATAAAACACACACACAAAAGGATCCTTCCAATAAGGGATCGAAGGTCTGTAATCACATTGGAAAGCTTTCCTTTAAAGAGCTGTTCTTAGCTCAGCTGCTCAGCTGTCACTAGAGTTTTTCTTTCCCGCCAGGTCCTGTTGCTGCTTTAGGCCCGGATAAGCACATAAAGACTTATGTTAACTATTAAACTGTTGGCCGATGGCTAGGGCTTCTTATTGGCTAACTCTGTCTTAATTAGTAACTCATTTCTATTAATCTATGTATTTCCATGTGGTCTTGGCTTACTGGAGAATGCCTGGACCTGTTACTCCTTTGGCCACTACATGGCTCGACTCTTAAGAGTGTGCCTTGAATTTCAGGAGGAACTTTGAATTTGGGGACTTTTGAATACTTTGGGGACTGCAGAAAAGACTCTGGCACTCAGCACGTTTAACTGCATTGGCGGCAGCTGCTGTGCAGCCAGTGTGGTGCTTGCTAGGTCCCAGACGTTTCTGGGGTTCTTTCCCCATTGACCTCCTTCACCACAGTCTCCTGCTGCGATCTGAAGGGAGTACCTGCCCTAGGCTAGCCTGGGCTACTCTGGGCTGCTGCAGCTTGCAGGCTGTCTTCCCGAATGGGTCCTGCTCAGCTTGCACAGATGCCAGGCATATTCTGGTCCTGCTGCTTAGAGCATTTTCATCATTTGCGGCTAACCTCCCAAATACAGCTCAATCAAAGGCTAAAGTACAGCTGCTGCGGCATACAGTGGCTCTTTCTACCCAAATATGCTCAGTGTACATAATCTGCTGTGGCCCAAGCACATAGTTCATTTGTTTCCCATCCCCATCCCCATTCTGGGGTCCCTGAAGTGCCTAGCACTCACAGGTGGCAGGTTGGGGGCTGACCTAGGTGTGAGCTCCTTCCAGAGGACAGTCAGCTACTGGAGCATTGAGTCAGAGCAGCTCTACAGGATCTCCCCGACCTGCTTTGGCACAACAACTGCGACACCTGCTGGCCAAATATCGTTATTACATCCTTAAGTCTGCCCGAATCAGCTATCTGATCATTGGCTCTGTTTGCTGGTCAATCAAGATTATCAAACCTACAACAATTCTCCTAGGACTTTTTTCTTTTCTTTTTTTAAAAAATTTAAATTAGAAACAAGCTGCCAATCCTAGCTCCCTCACCAGTCCCACCAACTCCCCACCCCATCCCCTCTCTCTTCCCCAGGGAGGGTGAGGCCCTCCATGGGGAGTCTTCAAAGTCTGTCATATCATCCCAGACAGGGCCTAGGTCCTACCCCATTTGTCCAGGCTGAGAGAGCATCCCTCCATGTGGAATGGGCTCCCAAAGTCCATTTGTACGCCAGAGCTAAATACTGATCTACTCTCCAAAGCCCCATAGATTGCAGAGGCCTCCTCAATGACACCCATGCTCAGGGGGACTAAATCAGTCCTCAGTCTGATGTTGGTCTCTCAGTCACCAGTCTGGGGTCCATGAGATCCCCCTTCTTCAGGTCAGCTGTTTCTGTGTGTTTCACCATGTAAGTCTTGACTCCTTTGCTCATCACTCCTCCCTATCTGCTTCTGCTTCCATCAGCCACTGGATGAAGACTCTAGGATGGCATATAAGGTAGTCATCAATCTCATTATTGGAGAAGGGCATTTAAGGTAGCCTCTCCACTATTTCTTAGATTGCCAGTTGGTGTCATTCTTGTAGATCTCTGAAAACATCACTAGTGCCAGATCTCTTCTCAAACCTACAGTGGCTCCCTCTAATATGGTATCTCTCATCCTGCTCTCCTCTATTCTTCCCCCGACTCAATCTTCCTGCTCCCCCATGTCCTTCTCTCCCCTCCTCTCCTACCCCTCTCTTTTACCCAGATTCCTCTCCTCTCCTCTCCCCCCATGTTACCAATCCCCTCAGGAGATCCCATTCCATTCCCCTTCTCTGGGGGTACCACGAATATCTCTCTTAGGGTCCTCCCTGTTTCCCAGAATCTCTGGCAGTGGGATTGTAGGCTGGCAATCCCCTGCTCCAAGTCTAAAATCCATATATGAGTGAGTACATCCCATGTCTGTCTTTTTTGTGACTGGGTTACCTCACCCAGGATGGGTTCTTCTAGTGCCATCCATTTTCCTGCAAATTTCAAGATTCCATTGTTTTTATCTGTTGAGTAGTACTCCATTGTGTAAATGTGCCACATTTTATTCAACCACTCTCTTCAGTTGAGGGCCGTCTAGAACCTGGAAGACCAGGTTCTGGCTTTTATAAATAATGCTGCTATGAACATAATGGAACATATATCCTTGTTGTATGAATGGGCATCTTTTGGGTATATGCCTAAGAGTGGAATTACTGGATCTTGTGGTAGACTGATTTCCAATTTCCTGACAAATCTCCATACTGATCTCCAAAGTGGCTGTACAAGTTCTGTACCCCACTGTTAAGAGAAGCTTTTTCTTTGAGAAAATGCCTTCCCGCCAGCCTGATTCCAGAGCCGCATCAGTCCCAAATAAACACACAGGAGGCTATATTAATTATGAAGCTGTTGGCCTTGCTTGTTTCTTACTGGCTAGCTCTGACTTAAGTAATTACCCCATAATTGTTAATCTAAGTATGTCTCTTACCGGAGAATAGTTCGGGCTCCTACCCCATGGCGTTACATCTCGAACTCTCTCCTGTTTCTCCTTCCCAGAATCCTCCTGGACTCCTAGTCCCACCCATCTAGATTCCTATTGGCTCAACAGTACTTTATTGACAAATGTACAGGACTTCCCCCATCATCTCCTCTTTTCTGTTTAAACAAAAAGAAAGGTCTTAACTTTAACATAGTCAAATTATATATAACAGAATAGTTATCAAGTAAGAACATAGTTACAATATTTTAGCAAGATTTAAAGAAAATATCATCCATCCCATCCTTGTGAGTCCAAAGTTCTATATTTAGCTCATCTTTTATCATAACTAAGGAAAACTATAATTATAACTATCTGTCTTCAACTCCATCAAAGACCACAGAAGGAAAATATATAAACACTAGGATTGACAGAGGTATCAAGAAAAACCCTAAACCATTTTAAATGCCATTTTCTGAAGGTCTTTGAAAGGTTTGAAGACTATTTGTCTGTCTCAAATACATCTCTATATATCTAGAAAACCTAACTTACCTAACTATAAATTCTATTATCATTAACTATCTATAGTCTGTATTCAATTATGTATTAAGTTTTAAAAGATCAGTATAAGCACAATACTTAATCAAGAGGAGAAATATAAGCATCACAAAATTGACCTTGAATTTGTATCGATAAATGAAAAACAATACCCATACCATAATTCCCCTTTTTACCATTAAAAGGAGATTGGCTGTGATCATTAACCAATTATAAACAATCCCATTTAAATGAAAACAAAGATTTATAAACAAGATGGGAATTGGGATGTCGCTCATTCCAAACTGCTTCGTGCTGGAAGGGGGCGCTGTTCATACCATGGGGATCATGACAAAACTCAGAAACCTGTATAAGTCCTTATTTTCGTGGTCTGTAAGGCTGCATCATCTTAGCTGTCTCAATTGTTGGAACATCTGGCCCACTGCTTCTGGGGGTCTTGGTTCATCAAACCACAGAAGCCTGGAAGGAATCCTCAGCTTTTCATTTTCTGTAGAAACATAAGTAAAATCTCCTTTCCCAAGTAACATATCATTATACTTAAATTTTGAAGTCAAGGCATTTTTAAAATATAGAAGTTGGATTAATTTAGCAGCATTTATAATCAAGTGTACTTTAGCAGTTCCTTCCTGAGTAATCAAAAAACTGAAAAACACAATAGTATACAGTATCCAGACTCTCTGTGTATTTTCCATCTTTGTGTTGCTTATTTATTTATCTATTATTACTTTATTTCTTTTACTTTTATTTCTTTTTCTCTGAGACAGGGTTTCTCTTTAGAAATCCGCCTGCCTCTGCCTCTGAAGTAAATCCTACCGGCGTGTGCCACCACAGCCGGCTTTTGTATTTATTTACCACTTTGCCGTTTCATTTTCTCTCTCAATCTCACGTATATTTTTAAACACACTGTAAACCTTTAGAGGTTTGTTCATCCAAGTCTGACTTTACTGTAAATCTTTACGTTTTTCTGGCCACGTGTCTTATCTGTTAAAACCGTGGCTGTTTTAAACTGCCATTTCGAAGATGGCGGGCGTAAGCGTGATTCCAGCTTACCGCCTCAGTCCATGCTGACATCCAGCAAAAGCTGCCACTTCCAGCTGTACGTACACACCTTTCAATCGTTAGCAGAGTCTCTTAAAACAACCTTGTTTTTTTTTTTTCTTTTTATGCCGAGTCAGGAAGACTCCGGGAGGCGAGCCACGTGAATCTCGGCTTGTTGATAGCAAAACAGAGCCCACCTGAGAAAATGCTGCTACCAAAAATCTGTGCTTCTCTCTGTTCTTCTGTTTCTAAAATTCCTTTAAATCTTTTGTTATTTTGCATGGAAATTCAATCCTGCTCCTGACAACCATTCTGTTAAGAGAAGCTTTTTCTTTGAGAAAATGCCTTCCCGCCAGCCTGATTCCAGAGCTGCATCAGTCCCAAATAAACATACAGGAGGCTATATTAATTGTGAAGCTGTTGGCCTTGCTTGTTTCTTACTGGCTAGCTCTGACTTAAGTAATTACCCCATAATTGTTAATCTAAGTATGTCTCTTACCGGAGAATAGTTCCGGGCTCCTACCCCATGGTGTTATATCTCGAACTCTCTCCTGTTTCTCCTTCCCAGAATCCTCCTGGACTCCTAGTCCCACCCATCTAGATTCCTATTGGCTCAACAGTACTTTATTGACAAATGTACAGGATTTCCCCCATCAGCCCACTTTTATTTATTTTATTTTATTTTTATTTTTAAATTTAAATTTAAATTAGAAACAAGGTTGCTTCACATGTCAATTCCAGGTCCCTCTCCTTTTCACTCCCCTCCTCCCACCAACCCCCCCATGTCCCCTCTTTTCTCCAGGGAGTGTGAGGTCCTCCATGGGGGTGTCCATAGTCGGTCATTTCATCCAGGGCAGGGCCTAGACCCTCCCTCAAGAGTTCAGGGTAAGAGTACATCTC